ATAATCACTTCTTTCTTTTATCAGAAACTAATTACCCAATCTAAGTGGACTTTGCAAACAATACCATCTTCCTGAAATTCAAGTTTAGATAGATAAAATATCCCAATGGAACTTCCAAAGCTCTTAAGACAAATCCCTCAGTAGAATAGGAAAGGCTTACGGCTAGTGGATACATCCAGCTAGATCCCTACACAGAAGTAGTGTATATATATTCTAAGCCTGAGATGAACTCCATGAGAAAAGGAGGACAGAATTTCCACTGCTTTGTGGTTATGCTAGCAGAAAACTGCATAAATAGGCTTAGAGTGGAGGTATGTCAAGGGAATCTCAGTAAGTTCTCATTTAAATGTGTGATCCCCTCTTCTTCCTTCTCCTCTTCTTTTTCTGTCTCTCTTTCCCTCTCTCTGTTTTATCACATTCAGCTGCCCTCCTCAAAGCATTTGCCTTTCTATTAAAATATGCCGTAGCACTTCTGAATTAACGGAGGTAATACTTGGTATCAGTGTCATAGTTTTATTTTTTTTAATTCATGACAAAATTACTAAATCAAGAATTCCAAAAAGAAACAAAGTGTGATTTGTTAACAAGTGAACAATTTGCCCATAGATGGAAGAGGAGGTAAAAGGCAAGCTGAAGGCGGCGTTGGTGCCACACAGTGTGTTGTGCACTAAAGCATTTTCGCACCTTGCTTAGCTGCTCTTTGAGTCTTGACATGGTTGCGAACATTTCATTAGCTTCTTCTTGGGGGACTTCTTTGGAAATGAGGTGCACTGTCTTTGTAATCATCTTGTATTGAGCATCGGTCGCAGGCACCCTCTGCTCGATATCCTGCACGAATCATTGAAACAGCTAGATTAGCGCATGACACGTTTCCTTTTCATGTCAGGATTCCGCAGAAGGCGGAACAAAAATCAATGTGCACTGTCTAAAATTCTACTACGCTTATAGTAAACTTCAGGAGAGTCCAGTTTTTGCTTCCCTTCATTACTAATATATGTATAGGTAATATTATACAAATAAATAAAACTTTCCCTTAAGTGACCAAAATTTTTAAGTTAACATCAGGATTAGCTGAAGTAATCTTTACACTTAAAAAAAACCCCACCATGTTAATGTAGTATAGAAACATTACAGAACATGTAAATGCATATTAAAGATTTGGGGCAATTCTGACTTTAAAAATTAAACAGCTTGTTTTTTCTTAGAAAAGTAACACATATTGTCATTATAGAGTAACTATAAATTAGAAATGTTAGGATAATGAAAATTTAAGTTACTTAGAGTCTTCTCACACAGTGAAAACAAAAGCCAGCATCTCATCATTACATCATTAATATTTTTCCTGTGTTTATATTCATTTTTTACTTTTACAAAAACAAAACAATGATACCATTGTTTGCTTTTCTCACTTAACGATACATCGTATAATTAAATCTTTCCATGTCATTAGAAACTCTTCCACTACTTCATTTTTGAAAGCTGTAGGCTATTCAAAATATGTAAATACCACAATTTGTGCAATTAATCCTTTATCGTTGGAAGCATTTATGTGGAAGTGCTATCTATAGATGTCTCCTGTTTTTTCCTAATGCTTTATAATCTGGTTGTAGAAAAAAATTTCCAAATTGAAAAATTATTTTGAAGTTACTTTATATGATGAAGACATATCTTTAAAAAATTCAATATATTTTTTATGACAGGTACAAATCAGGATAGGCAGTCACGTCAAAATGATGCTCAGGAGACACAGAAACAATTTTTGCAATGATCTGAGTAAACTGCTGATCTTTATTTTCACAGCGGAATAGGCTTTTCCTTTTATGACTCGGAAACCCCTCACCTCCAAGTCTTGGATTAATAACTTGATATTTGTAAAAGAGACTTCTAAGGGTTCAGAAAGTTTTCTCTGGGCTTCAGTTGCAAAAGTAGACAGGGTATTAACACAGTCTGTGTATTCTTTCTTCATTCTGTCCACCTCATCGGCTCGAGCATACTGTTAAGAAAAGGGAGGGGGAATATCATGAAAGCCTCTAAGCTGTGCCTGGAAGAGCCACCAACCTTCACTTTTACATATTCTCCGGAATTGTCAACTGACAAGAAAGATTCTAATTCCTTATTCTCATTTTAGATAAATTTGAAGTAAGTCCAATTACTTTGAAAGGAAAAACCTAGAACAAAAATGAACTATGATTTGAAACACAAATCATTCCATGTAAGTAGGCTCCATATGTCAACATAATCCTTAATCAAATTAACGCATTTCTGTAACGTTCCTCCATTAGAAATGGAAAAGAATGAATAATCAACCATAAAATATACCAGTTTTAAACACATCTATATCCTGCCTCAATAAGCCCAGCCTATATAAACAAAATTGTCTTTAAAACAGACTGTTCATCACAATATTTATAATACATGCACATTTGAGGTGTCCATAGATTTGAAAGACATACTTGCTTGACTTCCATAAACAGCTCCCTCCATCGCCCATTTAGCAATAGTAATTGCTGCTTAAGGTCACGGGAAACCATCTCATCACATGTTTCAATTAGGAAATTGCCAGCATCGTTCATGGCAGTGTGCTGCTGAATCCAATGAGGCAAATTTCGAAAAAAATCCTAAACAATATAGAATGCACACTATTGTAAATCATACACCAAATATTAATAACTGATACTAAAGTGGTGACTACAGTAGGAGAAATGTCTTTGTTCTAAAACTTGTGCAAATTTTAAGGTAAATCTTAAATCTCTTTCAAAATGCAACTTTTTTTTTTTTTTTTTGGAGACAGGATCTTGCTCTGTCACCCAGGCTAGATTGCAGTGGTGCAATCATAGCTTTGAACTCCTGAGCTCAAATGATCCTCCCACCTCAGCCTCCTGAATAGCTGGGACTACAGGTGCACATCACCACGCCCAGCTAATTCAAAATGCAAATTTTTAATAAAGAGCTTCAAAATATGAACAAGAAATACCGAATGTCTTTTTATAAGAACATCTATGCTATATTTTTAGCTGAGGACAAAATAAAACAGTAAGTGTAAGAAACTTGTGCATGGTCTTCAAGCTATTAATAGTAAATACCAGTCCAAGGTCATATAAAAGCCATAACAGATTAGGGAAATACATAGACTTCTCTAAAAAAATTTAAAACAAAATTTGAACTGTTATTCTTGACTTTAAAAGGTGAATACAGTACATTAAAAGAATTTAACAATCATGGGGATAAACCAACAAAAGAAAAAAATTTAAATGTCTGGGTAAAGAACACTTAACACAATAACAACCTTTCTTACTTGTTTAAGGTTTTATTGCCACATACTTGGCAATAAAACAGTTTCCAACTCATTTTAAATTAAATGCATGTGTGCGTGTGTGTGCACACACACACACATCACAGTAAAAACCAAGGATACCAAAGATAATTCAAAATTCATTTCATAAGCCATGTGTGGGAGGACTTCCTACATAAATAGATGAGAACACTTCTGTTTCTGCCGGTTATATTCCCTTGGATCAAATTAACACATATGACATCTACTCGGGCACTGCCAGTCTGATCAGAAAAGCCAAAATCTATATGGGAACATAGTTATTGCCTTCCTCAGCTACACAAGCATATTTAATCTATATGAAATATAGAATAGTAAAACATTTGAAAATGATACATCTACTTGTGCAAACAATAATAGATGATCCAGTCTTGGATAGCAAGCAGGAATTCTAATGTATGTACTATATTTCTTAACAGAAACCTGGCATTTTAACATCTTTTATATATAAATTGATTTTTCATGTGAAAATGCCAGGTACTCATTAAGAAGTATATGCACTGAATATGTTCCTTTCATGTGCTATTTACATGTAAGTTATACTAAAGTGAAACAGTAACTCTCACACGCACACACACATACACACTTACACTGCCAAAAAATGAAAAAAGAAATCACTCCTAGCCAGAGTGAGACCCTTGACTGAGGGTTGATAACATCCAAAAAAGGATATTTAAAGAGATAAGAATGTGATGGTCCTGCTGTTTCCTAGTGTATACTACCTCACAGATTCAGTACTACAGTAGCCAAAGTTGTTTCCATCCTCTCTTAAATCAGGAAATCAAGGACTGGGGCCCTAGACACGCCCCTTCATGTACAGACCTCAGTGTGAGCATGGTGCCCTCTGCTGCCCAGTGGATTTGGCTAAACATCAGTTACTGTTCTTCTGAACCCAAAAGTCAGACACTGGAGCGATCAGATAGGGAACTGTTTTAACAGAGCTTTCATTAAGCAGCGTATTTATTGTTCTGAAGTAATTTACTAACCTGTGCAACTTTCCAGGCAAAGTCCGGATTCTTGAGCCACACTTGCAAATATATAACACTCCCTAGTCAGCTACGCTGTAAAATTTCTCATTTCTAAATCCATGTCTTCTCCTTTTGCATGAAACAATCTTACCTTTTTGGCATTTTCTGACTGATTTAGCATTTTTTCAGCATCCTCTAGCCAGGCTTGAAGACTAGCCACAGTACTGCCATAGCGATCCCAGTTAGAGATCACTTCTTCCAGCATACTCCTCACGCTCCTAACTTCTACCGAGAGATTCCTCCACTGAGCAGTAGTTTCATTCATGAATTTCATCACATTCTCAGCTTCTTCCACTGAAATATACAAAACCAAGTATAATCCTTATATTTTAAATCCTCCACGCCTTTTTTCTATAGTCTTACACACTGGTGTGAAATAGTATCAATCACAAATTCTAGAATTCATTTCCAACAAATATGACAGACATAATTACAAATTGAAAACAAACATATTTTACAAATCATGTCTTCACACTAATTTACTCTCATTTACTTGATTATCATATTCAAGTTATTCCAATTTTTTTTGCCTTTAATCCTTAGAATTGAAAATAGGTTGAAAAATTACAATTTAGAAAATGAATGTGTATTTTGCTTTCTCTTAAAAGAACACACACACACACACACACACACACACACACACAAACACACACAGAGAAGAGTATGATTATGCAGGTGAGGCATTGCTTAAAGTCAAAGGGACTGAATACAATATGTGCTCTCCAGGCCAATGGCATGGTCATACAAAGGTTCTGCAGAGAAAAAAAAAATGACCTGATCACACAGAAACCTACAGATTCTAATTGTACTGCAATAACACTGCAACAAATCGTGTAGCATGCTTTACCTGAACCATCTGCTTTGATGTACATCTCAGCTGTCTGTTTCAAGATCTGGTATGTCACTTCATATTGCTCAAAGAACTTGCTATTTTCTATGAAAGACTAGAAAAGGAGAAATAGTTAGAAGATAGAAAACATTATACTTATGTAGAAATGCCAAAGTCAATTTTCTTCAATATAGCTATATGGATATTTAACCCAAATTTGCCAACTTCACACTTCTTGAAAATACAAAACTAATTCCACTGCCACAAATAACCTAAGATCATTCCGAACGTATAAATTAATTCTACATTTTAAATCCTAACTCAGCACTAGATTGAGAAAATATTCCCTTTGTTCACCACCCAGGGGGTTGCTTTTCAAAGAGCAAAATTTATCCAGAGAACCTGAGCCTAACATTTAGAAAGCACTAAATTTGGAAGAACATTTTAAAGTGTCCCACTGTGTTTTAGCTGTGGGATTGTGTTGCTCTTTGAATATTAATCCTGGTGAATGACTTCTTTGAGGAACTTCAGATTATAAATAAATAACAGTGCACAAACACTTCCCTTAAAAGGTAAGTAGAAAAATTTAAAATAATCATATATTCCACCCATGTTCTCTGTGGTCTCATATTTCAATTACTTAGTATAAAAATTACAGATAAGACATGTCTATATATCTATATGTAATTTACATATGTAGTAGAGTCACTATCAGTAAATGGACAGTATAAAATTGAGAACACAACCATAAATGTTTAGGTAAATTTTATCATTGTTAAGTCCAAGAAATATGAAATTACTCCTGTTTCAAAGATTATTCTTATTCCTCTAAAGTAGAAAATTAATGCAATTATAGTTTACAACATATCACTAAAAGAATTTCTTTTAATAGTAAAATGAGTTCCTATGATTTGGATGTATCAGCATCACTATCACAAAATGCAAAATCAGCCTTCAAAAATCAGCTCAAGTCCTGTACAATATGCTGATGAATGCTTAATATATAGATGTAAGATGCTTGTGTGTATAGGCAAAATTATTCATAACAGCAATTTCAGACATTCCTAGATTTTTACTGGTAAATGTTTATCATGTTTCAAGATAATATTTAAAAACATTGTATGACATTTCATATCATTTTATGTTTATAAAGCATTACTTATACATTAACTATTCTTCAGGAATACAGTGAATAGAGAAAGCTGTGAGTTACCTGGAATGAGAGGTTCCATGATGAATACTTTATTCGATGACTTTAATAGCTTTATTATTTTTGTTTAAGAATAAAGTAAGACAATAATAGTCTGATTAATTCATTATGTAGCTTTACATCTTATTCTTACTCCCCAGATGGGAAAAGAGTAATTTACTAGAATTTAAATCTTGAATAATTTAACCAACCAAGCAAATCACAATTTGATCAAAAATGGGAAATTACACCTAATGTTCAAGACACTGTGTAAGAAATTGAAGAAAGAATTCCATTTGGCAAAGTCTAAAAAATAGTCTCCATTTAGTTTTGGAGCAAATTTCAGAAGCTAGTGGGAAGACAATTGCCCTAAGTGTCAAAGAAATGGGAAATAGTGCCTGGGCTGGACAGGAAGACTTCAACATGTGTTTGCTAGAGTAGTTTACAAATTAATTAAAAATGAATGAGAGAGAAAAACTTATTTCATTTCATTTTTGGTCCAAGATGCAGGAAAGAGGAAAGGATATTTTACAAATGTCAGAGGGATTCATAATTTTTGAGCTTTCCTATTAGGAAAACTAGGCAATTAATTTTTGAAAAAGAGACCTTATTTGTCATTTTTATTTTTTATTGGTTCATTTAATTTGGTTCTTTTTTCCTGAATATGGAGTAAACCCATTTAGCAATATGAATTATTTTGTCTAATAGAATCACTTTAGCAGGGGCATAGCTAAATTTCCTTTTTACTGTGAGCTACTTAGAAATGCCTCTCAGTAAAATGCAAAAGTAAATACAAATGTACATTTAAAATAATAATGACAGGATTAGTTTAATTCTTTCAAAATAAGGTTGAACCTTGGATATCAAGTTCAACAAATAAGCGATATTAGGGAATTTTGAGAGTTAATTGTACTTCAAGAAAAATGAGATACTTCTTACACCACTAAATTCAAAATATGAGTGGAAGTGACTAAATCTCTACTTTTACTAGGTAAGTACAGATGTAACAAATACAAAGCTCATCAATTTCACTTGAAAGGAAATAAACCAGATAATTTAAGATATTTAAAATTAACTTTGAGGAGTGGTTTTATTAGAATTGTCTATTTATATTAATAAAATAATTATGAATAATAAAATAAATATTCACATTACTTATGTTACATTCTGATAGTCCATAATTTCAAGAGCTCTTCTTTTCTGTGAAAGATTAAAATGTTATCCTATTTTTTCCATAGTCAAATTGAAGCATGTGTTTTGGTCACTGTCAACAATTCTGACAGCAAGGACCAAACCAATTATCTTCTGACTTACATTACAGTATATAAGCATGTATCAGTAGCATGTGGCCTATATTAATCACAACAAACATTTGTGAGGTATTTTTTAAGAATTCTTTAAGTGCTCAGTAACTGTATATCTGAACTAGGAACTGTATTCTCTAATTCTCTGACCTTTAAAAGAATGTACTATTTTTCTTTTTTTTAGAAATGAGTAAGTTTGAATTGAGAATTTAGACCAAGGAAAAAATGGAAGCTTATGGCCTGAATATTAATTTGGTTATTAGATGATCAGCAGCATATGGCTTATTACAATATTTCTTTTTGTGATTTTATTTGAAAATCTTCATGCTCTTTGAAAGAGTCTGTTTTAAAGAGAATGATTTTCCAGAATACACCAAAAGGATAGGAGGTGCTATGGCCGTGGTCCCCAACCTTTTTGGCACCAGGGAATGATTTCATGGAAGACAATTTTTCTATGGACCTGGGTGGGGGATAAGTTTCTAAGTTTCACGGAAGATGACCATTTTTCCATGGACGGGGAGGGGGTTTGAGGGGTGGCAGAGCTCTGTGGCCCCGTCCCTAACAGTACTGGTCCGTGGCTCCAGGGGTTAGGGACTGCAGCTCTAGGGGATGCAACATAAAAGGAAAACAATATGTGTCAGCCTTTGTTCCTTAGAAAAGTTCCTGTTATTCTATTGTTACTATCACCATTATTATTATTACAAATTTGAGAAAGACTAAGGCCTTTAGAAATTAAGTTATTCACAAAGTCACATGGGTAGTAAGTAGGTGAACCATGATTTAAACCCATTTCTATGTGACTGTTGTCTGGGTTTCATCGGTTTCCTCCACCCCTATACCATGTTGCCTAGGACATAAATAACACCAACTATCAGGCTATTAAATACTGTCAGATATGGACCAATATTAAATGGAACTAATATTTATGCGAGCTACAGTCTTTAGTTCACTAAGATGCAAGATATCACATCAATAATTTGGTCTTTTAAGCTAAAAAATCCTTTTTGATAGTAATATGCAGTACTTAAGTGCAAAGCCTTTTGATTTGGAAAGATTTAGATTCAAATTCTGGTTCTACATCTAACCTACTTTGCCACCTGAAGCATGAAACTTGAGCCTATGAAGCCTCAGTGCTCCTACACCGTTTCCTCGGCATATAAATTAATGTGCAAATGCTCAGCCTGTAGGGTCATTATTGAGATGAAAGATGATGCATGTAAAATACTTGGCACTTGGGCAACACTCAACACCCCACAGTCATCAAAACTAAGCAAAAAAGTGCCTTAAAACTCTTTATGGAAAAAAAAATCAGTGATAAATAGATATTCTTCATTAAGGGGTGACAATAGCAGGAAATGTTTATTGATATATCCTACGTATTACATGTAGGGTAATTAGCAAGTTTAGAAACAACTGTGGAAGTTACAAAGCAGTTTAAAATTAGCAGCTTAGTGAACTTCTCTTTAACTTTATGGAGTAGGCAGGAAGTATTAACTTTTTACCACCAATAATAATTCTCTATTTATATATGCTCCGAGAAGTTCAAAGAGAATTATTAACATCATTGTATTGGAACATTAAGCTGGTGGAACAGTCCCATTAGATGTTTAAATTTGATTGGCTGTTCTTAAATAGCTGGAACAAAGAATGGATCCTGTGTAATTACCTATTTGGCTCAGAGTAGATCATTTGACATGACTAAACCTGAAAATACGAATGCATAACTGTATTTAATATTTAAAGGACTAATGTAATGGCTTGAATTTAAGAAACTGGATTTGGATTTTTCCATTACTTTCTAAAATAATTTAAAACATATACAGGAACATACCATACCAGATTTCACAGTTTTTGACAAATGTTTCCTAGACAATTTTAGTAAACCTAGAAAAAGATTTTACTGAAAACCAGTTAAATCTTTTCTTTTTCAAATACATGTTGTTTACT